GGTCATCATATATACAGGTGGGTCATCATATATACAGGTAGTCATCATATATACAGGCAGGTCATCATATATACAGGTGGGTCATCATATATACAGATGGGTCATCATATATACAGGTAGTCATCATATATACAGGTGGGTCATCATATATACAGGTGGGTCATCATATATACAGGCAGGTCATCATATATACAGGTGGGTCTCATATATACAGGTGGGTCATCATATATACAGGTAGGTCATCATATATACAGGTAGTTCATCATATATACAGGTAGTTCATCATATATACAGGTAGGTCATCATATATACAGGTAGGTCATCACAATTACAGGACAGTCATCATATATACAGGAGGGTCATAATATAATATATATAAAAACGACCAATACCTGACATCACAAGAACCAAAACATGACTTCACAAGAAACAATACATGACATCAAAAGAACCAATACATGACTTCACAAGGACCAATACATGACATCATAATGACCAATACCTGGTACCACAAAGACCAATACATGACATCACAAGAAACAATGCATGACATCACAAGAAACAATACATGACATCATAATAAACAATGCATGACATCACAAGAAACAATACATGACATCACAAAGACCAATATATGACATCAAAAGGACCAATACCTGGTACCACAAGGACCAATACATGACATCAAAAGGACCAATACATGACTTCACAAGGACCAATTCATGACATCACAAACAATACATGACATACAATACATGACACCACAAACAATACATGACATTACAAACAATACATGACACCACAAACAATACATGACATTACAAACAATACATGACATCACAAACAATACATGACATCAAAAGGACCAATACATGACATCACAAGAAACAAAACATGGTACAATATCAAGGAACAATACATGACATCACAAGAACCAATTAATGACAGCTAGGGTAAAAATGGTGCTAATATCCTTAGAATTTTCCTAATTATTCACATAAACATGCCTTCGGCGAGCATATGATACAAGAATCTCAAACACCCAAAGTCAATGAAGCTTGCTGCAGAAAATTTCTGTAGAATCTGTCAATATTTTATAGTATGTATATATTATATATAGATGGGGTTTTTCTCCAGTGGACATAATTAACAGATTGATCATGACAACACGCTTTGACTACCACAACATCCAGAAAAATTAACAAATACTGATATAGATATTTATGTTAACAGCCGGCTGTGGTCACGACGCCTGCTCCCTTGCCAGTCCTAAACAACAAGTGCACACCCCAGAACATCGCTAAAGGCAATCTGTACTTCTCCATTGCTGGAGACCCTCACCGATTCATTGAGTGTGATCTAAATGGCAATGCTAACATCTTGACATGCCCATCAATGCTAAACTGGGACGAGTCAAGGTTGTCCTGTGTGTATGCCTTTACACAAGTCAACCCAACACCCAACCCAAGTGCCAGCTCAGGTAAGAGTCAGCCCCTATCCTCAATCTACTGGTCAGCGTAGGTGTTAACCTAACCCCTGATGTATTGGCAGACAAGTAAAGTCAACCCAATCTTCACAGATTTAAAAACAAGTTGGCTTTTCATCATACCAGAAGTATAGATTTTAGCTCACCTGGCCCAAAGGGCGATATTTGGCCAGTAGCATGTGGGGATAAAGGGCTATCAAGTTTGTTCAAATGAATGACCTTCACCCATTTCAAGGTCACAGGGGTCAAATATATTGAAATCTTTAATGACTTCTTCTGTATAACGAAAAGGTCAAGGGTGATGATATTTGGCCAGAAGGGTGTTTTTGGATGAATAGCTACCAAGTTTGTTAAAAAAATTATCTTTGCTTGTAATCAAAGTCACTTGGGTCAATTGTCTCAAAAACCTTTAAACGACTTCTTCTGCATAACCAAAAGGACTAAGATGATGATATTTGCGCAGTAGCATGCTTGTATGAAAGGCTACAAATTTTATTAAAATATGTGACCTTCGTCAAGGTCACAGGGTCAAATATGTTTTGAATGTAAAGGCCCTGGATGATAGTTGGTCATTGACATGCTGGAATGAAGGGCTACCAAGTTTGTTCAAATAAATGACCCTTCATTCAAGGTCACAGGGGTCAAAGATCTTTTAAACCTTTAAACAACTTCTGAAAAACTATAAGGCCCAGAATGTTGCTTGGTGGAGGGCTACCAATTTTGTTCAAGTGAATGACCTTGGTTTATTTTCAAGGTCACAGGGGTCAAATATGTTTAAAATCTTTAAAGGACTTCTTCTGAATAACCAAAAGGCCCAGGATGATGATATTTTGCCAATAAGATACTGGGATGATAGGCTACCAAGTTTGTTCAAATAAAAAAATCGTTTGAATGACCTAATCACACTTTCAAAGTCAAATGTGTATATACCTTTAAATAACCTAATTTCAATAAACAAATTAAAAGATCTTGGGTGGTGGTATTTAGCAAGTTGCATGCTGAGATGGAGATCAAGTTTATTCAACATAATGACCTTGTTCGACTTTTTGAAGTCACATCTTTTCACCGGTTCTACCTAAAGTCATAAATACTTATATTTTGGCTGTAGCTTTATTTCAGTCCACTTAAAAGGTTACAAATGTAAGATTAATACCAGGGGAGCGATGCAGGCCCATTGGGCCTCACGTTAATTTTCGTCTTACCTGTCGCACAGTTGAATGTATGTCACGACTGAAGCACATTTAAATCTTTGTCACAGTTGAAATGATCAGGCTCATGGTATATCTGAAGTAAAAATCATTTACTTAAAATGTACGTAGAATCCTGGCTATTTTTGTGTATAAGGAAATTATTTTGAATCACACGAGGAAATGATCGCTTACTGCATGTCCTGATGATGGCTAGACAAGCTAGCTGAAACATGTCAACTGTAAATTAATTACAGAATCTTCATATTGATATTACATCTTTTCTGTTCATTGATTTAATATTTATCATGTCAACTAACTATGATAAAACTTAATTCGTTGTTGACTTTTACAGGTAGTTTGAACACAGGTGCAGCTAATCCCTGTAGGGGACAAACAGTAACACCAGCCGGTCTCTTCTTCTCTCACCCTGACCCCAACAAATTTATCCAGTGTGACATTGCTGGCGATGCCTATGTCCTCACCTGTCCCTCGGGCCTGGTTTGGAATGAATACAGTACAACATGTGTTTCTCCCTACCTGGGGGCTGGCTCAAGTGGGTAGTCTCCCCTTAACACGAGGATAGCCTCCCCTTACCTGGTGGCTAGCTCCAGTGGTTCACCTTGCTCATTCACACTTTTACTTATATCACCAATAAAAACATCAATATTGTAAACCTTAGTTGTTCTATTTATTCGTTTCTTAGTTTTAGACAGAAAAGAACTATTCCATAGCGTTTTTAGATTCAAAAAATGTTTTTGCACTATTCAAAGCTTCCTGAACCCTTTCAACCCTATATAACTTTAGTAGACTACCATACATTTACGTGGATGAGTCCATTATGGTCTACAGTGGTGAAAGGGTAAACATTTATACACCATACCAAATTAGGTCAAAATTCATTGAGCCGTTCTTGAATGAAAACTTGATCTTCAGGTAAGTAAGCTAGTCAAACCTCAATCAGGAAACCTCATCTCAATGCAAAGTATTAAATAAAAACTTCCAGATTATGACCAGGGGTCAATTAGGTCATTTTCAATGTGAAAAGAATGATTTTGCTTGTCAACAACTTCCTTATAATTGTATATATTCAAATTAAGTTAAGTTTTAACTCATTGGTTTCTCACAGTGAGTAATCTCTATACACAAATCATACTCTTCTTGAAGTGTAGATGCATTGTAGGAACTTCCTGCTTTGCTTGACAGCATGTAAATACACTGATTTAAAGGGTAGGTATTAATGCTATTCTCTAAATAATCAATCTACATTTTAAGATAACTTTATTTACTCCTTTAAACTGTGAACATAGTTTTAACGAACTTTTAAGCCAGGGATTAAATGTCACCGGACCTCTATGTCACATCCATCTTGACATGGTGTAAAACCAATTAAAAATCACACTGCAAAGAAAAGTTGGCTTCAAAATGCAACATTCTGGAGTGCAGGAAAAGTTCTGAATTGTGAAACCAACTGATTTTGAATTGTCAAAAATAGTTTAGCTGTTGTAAAATTTAAATATTTCACATGCTTTGAATTTCAATAAATCTTTTGTCTGAAACCCCCAAAAAAACATATCCTGCAGAAAACCTCAGGACTTTTAAGTGTGATATCTTGTTTTGAAAAGGAAATATACATTGCTATATATCAATATCCTGTCTCATTAGTTGTAAACAAAGAGAAGGTCTCCATGCAGGAAAGTTATAGTCTTATCTTATTTAATACAAACTGCAAAATGTTCACTTTTTTGTTACTACAGTAGCTCATATAATTATCAATGTGTGTGTGTGTGTGTGTGTGTGTGTGTGAGGGGGGGGGGGGATTTCTATTTCTTTTATTATTTTTCGTTACAAAATTATTACAATAATTAAGCCTTTCCAGAATCCAGTACATTTTACTTGGTAGAAAAGAGCCTCTACTGACAAAGTTTAACTGTATAGAGGTAAATAATATTCATTATTGTGATGTGAATTTAGTATACATCATGTTTATATCAAAGGTTTCCACTTTTAAATGATTCTGTATAAAAAGAATAATAACAAAACACAAGTTGTATAATTATCTCAATCAGCATGATTTTTATCTCTCAAAATAAAACCTTTCTTCATCAAAACATACAAATAAATGTTGAAAAAAGGAGAGAAAATATTTAAATAATACAGGTTACATTCTCACTTCAATCTAGCTTACTAGTGCATGTAAAAATACTCTCCTGAAATGTTAAATAAATTGTACAAGGTTCCTAACTATTATCACAGACAGCAGACCTTAAGGTCTAATACTAGGGTGGGCAAAGATAAAAATGTGAAATTAGTCTATTTCAGCCAGTGTCCATTTTAACAGTATCCACAACACTGTTTATACTAGCCAGTTCCCATAGTAAACAGTATCCATAAGAGTGATTATACTAGCCAGTTCCCATAATTACCAGTATCCATAAGAGTGATTATACTAGACAGTGTCCGTAGTAAATAGTATCCATAACAGTGTTTATACTAGACATTGTCCAGACTAGCCGGGGCCGTACTAGACAGTGTCCATAGTTGACAATATACATACTAGACAGTGTCCAGACTAGCAGAGTCCATACTAGATAGTGTCCAGACTAGCCGAGTCCGTACTAGACAGTGTCCAGACTAGCCAAGGCCGTACTAGACAGTGTCCATAGTTGACAATATGCATTCTAGACAGTGTCCAGACTAGCCGAGTCCGTACTAGACAGTGTCCATAGTTGACAATACACATACTAGACAGTGCCCAGACTAGCCGAGACCGTACTAGACAGTGTCCATAGTTGACAAAATATATACTAGACAGTGCCCAGACTAGCCAAGTCCGTACTAGACAGTGTCCATAGTTGACAATACACATACTAGACAGTGCCCAGACTAGCCGAGACCGTACTAGACAGTGTCCATAGTTGACAAAATATATACTAGACAGTGCCCAGACTAGCCAAGGCCAGACTAGACAGTGTCCATAGTTGACAATATACATACTAGACAGTGTCCAGACTAGCCGAGTCTGTATTAGACAGTGTCCAGACTAGCCAAGTCCAGACTAGACAGTGTCCATAGTTGACAATATACATACTAGACAGTGCCCAGACTAGCTGAGTCTGTACTAGACAGTGTCCATAGTTGACAATATACATACTAGACAGTGTCCAGACTAGCCAAGTCCGTACTAGACAGTGTCCAGACTAGCTGAGTCCGTACTAGACAGTGTCCATAGTTGACAATATACATACTAGACAACCTAAGATGACACACAATTTTCCTACATCCTTATTGGTAAGATCATAAGCATGTGGCGGTCAGTGACTTGTGATATTGACTCAATATTCACTTTATGACATTAGATCACAATGCTCTCCGACAAATGCAGACCTTTCCTTCACACAATTTTTTATACTTTCCATCTTGTCTAATGATTAAAACATTATTTAGCATCTATTATAACAATCAAGGACTTTAAGTGCATATTTGGTTAAATGGACCTGATAAACAATTTTATTTTCTCAGGTCCATATTGCCACATTCACCTCACCAGAAATCTTTAATTTATAAATACACAATGAACTCTTCATTAAGTTAGCTTTCACATAACACTAAATATTTATTCTGATAAAAGTTATGTGCTTCTGCATTAAATATTAATAAAATCAATTAATGTTTTTCCCTTTTCACAGATAATATAAGCAGAAGTGAAATTAGTTGACTTTTCTGTATCAAATATTCCTGATAAAGCCTTGTATAGATTAAACAATAATTTAACATACATGCATAACTACAATATTTTGTGGCAGATAATTGAGCAGTACAAACATAAATAGATGTTTCAGTGGCTCTGTAATGCTGCCTCATAAAAAGTAAAATTAAACCAAGTATATCACACATACTAGCAGAGATATTGGTCCTTTTACAATATGGGAAACGTTGTTTCGAGTATATTTTTTTTTTACAATTTTTGGTGTGAACAACAATCCAGTAAGTAGATGAAAGACAATATTTGTTGGTTCAAGACACTTCTTTTAAAAATGATGAACAAAAAAAAATCAATCAATTATTGTTTTCCATGCATTTGGAATTATATATAAATGAAGTTGTAAAAGTTGAATTCAGGCAATAAAAATAAATCTTCCTCAATGTTTAACCACATTCTGTAGATTAAGATACAAAATTAATTAATGAAAATATAGTCCAAGATTGAACTTACCAGTTGATAAGCATGTACATACGTTCAATCATAAAACAACCTTTCTAAAAGTCTAATTTCTGGACGGAATCATGATATAAAACTCAACATAAATATTTGTATAACATATCTATACATTTCATATAAAAAATTGTATAAAATGTCATTTACACAATATCAAGTTTTCTAGACATATTCAAACACTTAAAGATATATGAAAACAGAAAGCGAGATTCTCTATAAAATTATAGCCAGGTCATCAGCAGGACCTATCTAGTACTACTGGTTGATTTAGAAACTGTGCATCTGTCTAGTTCTCCTCAGTTAGCTGCCACTCGCGGCTTCCCCCAGAATTCCTCCTTGCGTTTCCTGGCACGTTCAAGTGTCTCTGAGGCTAGAGAGCAACTGGAGGCTACAGATCGGGCAGACACGGACAGTACATCATCATCTACATCTGTAAATAAACAACAACACATCACTTACAAGTCTGAAGGAGAAATACTGTCAGTGTAAGCTAACCTTAACACCAACTGTTCATATTAATGTGTACCCTTTTGTTTTTATAGACATGTTTAACCACTAGTTAAACTTCAAGCGAGCTGACAAAGATATACCCATCCACCCCCACCCTTCATTTTATAAACAAAATTATACCCCAATCACAAATCCCTTCCTTTATGCACACCTACATATGATATTCTTTCCCTAAAACAAGTAACAAAAATATACAACAAAAGGTTAAGGAGGATTTGAGCTTACAAGGTTTCTGGAGCAGATTAAAGGTTCAAGGACCACCACTCCAGGAACAAAACCTTGATCTTGGAATCCTGAAACTCATACTCATTAAAGCTTTCCTTGTACTTTAACCTTTTGGATAAAGTTTGATCAAATTCTGTTCAGAAATGAAGTTGCTAAAGCAATGACAGAACTGTTGGTGAGACAGTACACCACTGACAGGGATAACACTGTATTACCCCTCTCCTATCTCTTAAAATGGAGGGGGCAGCATAAAATGTTGAAGGTTCAGACTTAAGTTTTTCTGTAATATAATCTGGTTTATTATCAAATTTCCTTAACAAACAGTTAAATATGTCTTTTATTGACCCCCAGAAATACAAGAAATAGTTCTCTATACAGTAAAACATGTTTATAACAAACTCCAGCTGTTGTATTAGTTCTCTATACAGTAAAACATGTTTATAACAAACTCTAGCTGTTGTATTAGTTCTCTATACAGTAAAACATGTTTATAACAAACTCCAGCTGTTGTATTAGTTCTCTATACAGTAAAACATGTTTATAACAAACTCTAGCTGTTGTATTAGTTCTCTATACAGTAAAACATGTTTATAACAAACTCTAGCTGTTGTATTAGTTCTCTATACAGTAAAACATGTTTATAACAAACTCTAGCTGTTGTTTAAGTTCTCTATACAGTAAAACATGTGTATAACAAACTCTAGCTGTTGTATTAGTTCTCTATACAGTAAAACATGTTTATAACAAACTCCAGCTGTTGTTTAAGTTCTCTATACAGTAAAACATGTGTATAACAAACTCTAGCTGTTGTATTAGTTCTCTATACAGTAAAACATGTTTATAACAAACTCCAGCTGTTGTTTAAGTTCTCTATACAGTAAAACATGTGTATAACAAACTCTAGCTGTTGTATTAGTTCTCTATACAGTAAAACATGTTTATAACAAACTCCAGCTGTTGTTTAAGTTCTCTATACAGTAAAACATGTGTATAACAAACTCTAGCTGTTGTATTAGTTCTCTATACAGTAAAACATGTTTATAACAAACTCCAGCTGTTGTTTAAGTTCTCTATACAGTAAAACATGTGTATAACAAACTCTAGCTGTTGTATTAGTTCTCTATACAGTAAAACATGTTTATAACAAACTCCAGCTGTTGTTTAAGTTCTCTATACAGTAAAACATGTGTATAACAAACTCTAGCTGTTGTATTAGTTCTCTATACAGTAAAACATGTTTATAACAAACTCCAGCTGTTGTTTAAGTTCTCTATACAGTAAAACATGTGTATAACAAACTCTAGCTGTTGTATTAGTTCTCTATACAGTAAAACATGTTTATAACAAACTCCAGCTGTTGTTTAAGTTCTCTATACAGTAAAACATGTGTATAACAAACTCTAGCTGTTGTATTAGTTCTCTATACAGTAAAACATGTTTATAACAAACTCCAGCTGTTGTTTAAGTTCTCTATACAGTAAAACATGTGTATAACAAACTCTAGCTGTTGTATTAGTTCTCTATACAGTAAAACATGTGTATAACAAACTCCAGCTGTTGTTTAAGTTCTCTATACAGTAAAACACGTATATAACAAACTCCAGCTGTTGTTTAAGTTCTCTATACAGTAAAACATGTGTATTACAAACTCCAGCTCTTGTTTAAGTTCTCTATACAGTAAAACACGTGTATAACAAACTCTAGCAGTTGTATTAGTTCTCTATACAGTAAAACATGTGTATAACAACCTCCAGCTGTTGTATTAGTTCTCTATACAGTAAAACATGTGTATAACAATTTCCAGCTGTTGTTTAAGTTCTCTATACAGTAAAACATGTTTATAACAAACTCCAGCTGACATATTAGTTGTCAATACAGTAAAACACGTTTATAACAAATTTTTTATATCAAATACCTGTCTATAATTTATAAAGATGCATAGCTTAAATCAATAGCAAACAAGAAGCAGGCACCTTACAGATATGTCACTAAAGGGATGTTGTATTTATGATGGTTTACTGGATTGTTAGACAATTAACCACAGAATTGCAACGAAAACTGATATTACACAGGAGAATTATCAACTCCTTTCCACTAGAAAAGGAAATTTTGGAGTTTTGAGCAACCACCAAGTTGTGTGATGTGAGTAAGTAAAATGCAGCTAACATATGACTGAAATTACGTGAAATAATAGAGCAGTCTTTAGATTGATTTTTAGTCCAAAAAGTATGATAAACAGATAGTACACATGGCGTGCAAAGATACACATTCACTGCATAGCATAATGTTTGGGAGATTTGAGTGAAACTATTTACTATGCAAAGTTTTAGGCTAAAATACGTCACTGTGGAAGCATATATAGCATGCAATACAAGGCAGGTGTACAATATGTACAGGAAGGTGTAGACTCACAATGGTTAACAGACGTAGGAGAAGGTGTGGACTTACCCTCGGCCTGTTTATACAACGAATGGGGCTGATTGTAGGTACAGCCAAACCCCTCGTTAATGGTGCTGGGGATATTGACCCCCGGAGGCGGGATATGTTTATTTACTACAAAAACACCACAGAAATGGCCACTCATATAAATATATATTTCAACAAATACTAAATCTTTTAAGAAATGTCTATACTTTTCAATATTTTATTTAAACCCTGTATAACTGAATGCCTCAACAACTTTTAGTTATCAAGGTATCTATGATAAACCTGTCTAGAAACAGAATTTATTTGGATGAGGCAAAACACTAAATTTTGACCTTTTTTGTACCGTATAACGGGTTATTTACGCAGGCTTTAATTTTCACCAATTTTGACCCAAATAAAGAAAATTGATTTTACACAGATTTTAATGTTAGAGATCTTGACATGTAAGGAAAATATATTTTCGCTGTGTTTTATCACGAGGACGGGATACTCAGCATATAAAGTGTCAAATAGTCTAATGAATAGGCTTTATGACAGCATATTGAGCAACAACAAGTGAGATTATTTTATTAAACAAACCGTGGCCATCAACAAAACAATTAGATGTGTGATATAACCTATTTTTCAAACAAAAAATTACTCTTTATATAAATGTATCGTCACAACCACGTGCACCTGCACACTGTTTTAAGACAACATTATGGTAATGAGCTTTATTATCTCTGCCATTTTTACGTTTTGTTCGCGATCATGTTATTGACCCGCGGAATCGCGGAGATATCCTGCTATCCTGTTACTCGCAAAAAAGTGTACTTTTTCAGCAAAAGTGTTTTCAGGAAAAGCTGCATGGCCGTACAGACAGTGTTAAGTACAGAGACAGTATTGAGAAGTTGATCATGTATTATTGACATGAATTCTGTTTACAGTACAACTAGTCTGTCAATTGTGTATATTGTCAGACCTCAACCCGAGAAAGCCTTCACACATTCCGAGGGTGCTTCATTTCTGAACATCAAGTACATCGATAATGAAAATATTTCTCCATATTTTGTCAGTTTATAGCTTTCAGAATGGTCTGCTGTTTTAAATAAAACACAGCTATTGTAAGGTTGACAAACATGTACCACAGGAACTAAATTAGTAAAATCATAAAATGTTATTTATTAGCAAACTTACTACAATGTCAGAAAATTGATTCCCTTACTTATGCAATGTATCGGAGATATTCTAGTACAGTACCTTGGTTCTTGAGTGGGCTGTGTACATAGCTGGTTTGTAAAGGCTGGTCACATGACACCTGGTCGTCCCGTAGGTAATGGGTGTCACGGGAAGGCATACCAAAAGTGGGGGTCGGACCAATCCTCCCTTGATTCACATCAATTTGCTGAAATAACACATTGAATTCATTGAAAAAAATCTTTCTGGTTGAATTCTAAGAAGCTGTACCATAGAGAAACACCTATACACTGGATAATGTATTTGAAATTATCACATTATTTCTTACTGCAGGGATTCATAAGGATTCAGCATTAATGTTTATGTTCTTTTTCCAGACATTTTAAAGAAAACATCTTGAAATTTTCACCACTCAGTTATAACCATTTCCTTCACAGTTTATCTCATATTTTCTCTTGGCTTCACACAATGTCATTATTATTTCAAATCATCAAATTTTCTTCCATCCATTAATAGCTTAGTTTTTTTTCTTTTTATTCAAGACCTATTGCAGAGAAAAAGATATTGTCCATGGACTTTTCAAACAGGCCTTTTTTTTTTAATTAAAAAAAAATAAAAAATAAATAGTTCCATTCCGTCCCATTCTGCCTAATTTTTTCCCTAAAATAAAATAAGTTGAAAATGACTCCCAAGTCTCTCACATCATTTTAAATCAGCCTTGTCATCCAATGGACAGATGATTTAGAGAAGGTAATTAACTATCTGGACGGTGTAATTAAATACCTTTGCGAATGTCTGCCCAGCTATTGGCTGTCTAACAACCTCCTCAACATGTGTATCATCATCATCATCCTCGAAATCTGTCAGCACAGAAAACACATACAAAACCATAAAATCTGTGTTATAACATACTGTTAAGTATGAAATATCTCTTATATTGCTTCATTTTCATTGAAAAATGCTATGTCTTTAAAAGTTAAAAATTAAATTTGTAAAATATGTTACAAAAATTATTTAAATGTTATTACAGTTAAACAACCATGGAAGAACCAATAAAACATTACCACTATTTCAATTGAACATTTTCTCATAAGCTTCATAATAGCCTAAAATAGATACATGCATTAATAAATTTTGTATAACAAGATCAAGTAGTCACCCTGGAGTGCAATAGGCTGAGATTTAAACACTGCTTTCCTGCCTTGGGGGCGTGATCTCTGAGGTGGAGACGTCAGGATGGCCCCACCCACAGCAGGCGTAGTCAGGTCCAGGTGATGACGAGCACCGACACGCTTGCTTGATTTCTGTTGCCATTTTGGAGTTGGAATCCGTCCACCATCAGTCTCCTCTACTGTGCTGCTGCTGGGTGTTATAATACTAACCAAGGAAAAAGGCCCATCACATATACACTTCACCTCTAACAGAACGAAATGTTTGGTAACTAAAATTATCTTTTTCTCCGACGAAGTTGCAGCAGTGAATCTATTTAAACAAGAGTTCTAAGAGCCTTGAATCACTCATGTGATGATTTTGGAAAGAAAGGTTTTTGGAAAGAAAGAGTTTTCAATGGTTTGAGATGAGCCCCCAAAGATGACCTAGGTGTTACCAGCTTATGTCTAACTGTTGATCTCTGTGGGCTAAGGATGTTACAAAATACTACCAAAACTTAAGGTATTTCAAATCCCCACAGCAGTTAGCATTTGGGATCTCTGGAGTGGCTAAGGATGCCAGCCAAAGAAACTACTTAAATCTACCTTAAAGTTTGGGAGATGTAGCGATATCGAAAGCAAATCAGTTAATTTGACCTTGCTTACCATCTCCTTTATTTGTATAGCACTTGATTCACATGGGGTAAAAATGCTTTCATCAAAACTTGGTTGAAATTCCATTAAATACAATGTACCACAGCACCAGGTATGACCCGACCACCCAATGTCTTATAGCCAATCAGAGGCTACAGACAAGTTGCCATGTTGGATTTTTGGATGCTGGACATAAGATATTGTGAACATAGAACACCAACCACATACCATTTACAATCAGAACGAACACTGACTGGAGGCCATCTTGGATTTCAGGATCCCAGGTACATGGCATAAGTTATGTAGGATATCCACCTAATATAATTTACCATCAGAATCAACACTTGAGGATGAAAAGGGGCTAGAAAATGTATTCTATTTTTTAGAACTGTGACCTTGACCTCAGGAACTTTATAAGCTTTATCTCACAACTACATATCAAAGGTGTATCACCATGTAAATTTCAGAAATTTTTGACATTTATGAATCTGATATAGTCTCTGGAAAAAAATAGTGGAATAGGTGAAAAGACAGACAGATGGACGGTTTGGTTTTAATTTGTTTAACGTTCTAATAACAGCTAAGGTAATTTAAGGACGTGCCTCCGTGTGTGTTGTGTATGTGTGTATGTGTGCATATATGTATGTGTGCCGGAGACCGGGTATGTTGGTGTATTTGCCTTCTTGTGAAAGATTGGATCTGTTGCCGACTTTATATTGAGATATCACTGAAATACCATGCTGAAGGCACCCAGCACAGCATTCTGTCCGGTCACATTATAACTGACAACGGGTGAACCAGTTGTTGCCATTACCCTTGATGCTGAACATTAAGCAGGGAATAACTACCACCAATGTTCAGGACTTTGGTATGTCCCGGCCTGGGGACAGAACCCATCGCCTTCTTCACCTGGTCGAACGTTCAAAAGTGAGGTATTGCCAAGCAAGGCGATGAGAAATAAAAGGTAGTTAGAAGTAGAGAGAAATATTAAGATCCCAACAATTGAAATTGGTACAGCAGATTTATTTTTGTCGCTTTTGTGTCCCCAAGTAGATGGACGGAAGGACAGAAAGAGATCGATGTTGTTAATGTAGAGTTTCCAGTGTACCACCATCCATCCATCCATCCATCCATACATACATAGTGTGTCTATATGTTACATAGTGTGTCTATATGTTACATAGTGTGTAGATATGTTATATAGTGTGTCTATATGTTACATAGTGTGTCTATATGCTACATAGTGTGTCTCTATGTTACATAGTGTGTCAATATGTTACATAGTGTGTTTATATGTTACATAATGTGTCTATATGTTATATAGTGTGTCTCTATGTTCCATACTGTGTCCATATGTTATATAGTGTGCTTATATGTTACATAGTGTGTGTATATGTTACATAGTGTGTCAATATGTGACATAGTGTGTCTATATGTTACATAGTGTGTCAATATATATTAAATAGTGTGTCAATATGTTCCCCTACACTTATTAACTGATCTAGGCAACACAAATTAAACAAATCTTTTGCAGGACTAAGACAAGCAAGTTGACCTTTGACCTACAAGTATGAAGTGCTTCCTTACCTGTCCTCGTCCTCGTTGTTGTCCTGCCGGGCCATTTTATTGACAACCACCTCTGTCTCCAGATCCTGTTCCCGCATCTGTTCATCCGACGCCATTGTGGCTCTCGCTGAGTCACGTCTGTAACACAAAAACACCGGTTCAGTTTCATTGTCATGAACTAGAACAGAGCAACAGAACAGAAGTTATTGCCTTAATGTCCTCTGCCAATCAGAAGCCAGGTGGGCCATCTTGGTTTACCAGATCCAGATAACATTTCCTCATTCACCATGTAGATCAAGATTGTACAAACTTTTTTTGAAACACCCAAACTTGAAATTACGACTGATTTACCATAAGTAACTTATCAATTTATACACATATTGGTTACGCTCACACCGACAGCTAGCTTACAGAGAAATTCAAAATATAATACAAATTTTCAACAATCCTACCTTTCATTTCTGATAATTGTATTGGTATTTGTATGATAATGAATGAGTGTGTGTGTCTTTATATATATGTTTGTTTTGTGTCATGTTATGTATATAGTAACTGTATTGTATTCTAATGTAAAACTTTGAAAAATGAAAAAAAAAATAAAAAAAATTGTACAAACAGAAGAAAATGCGGAGTCAGCTAATATGATGAGAAAAAGGGGTTGACCTTGACCAATGACCATTTCAATTGTTTTGATCTTTGCAGTACGTATCACATTATTTACACAGGATATCCACTAAATACTATTTAGCATCAAATTGATCATTGGTCAGTCAGAAAGGGCAATATAACCATTTCTCTCATTTCCCTGTGTGTAATATAGAGCTGTCCAGGGTAAGAAAGAGGTGAAGGAAATTTCTATCTTACATCCCATTTCATGTGATGTGACGTCACAATGGCTCAACAATGACATGACGTCCCAAATTTGTAAATCTCCAATGCCGTAATGCAGAAAAGGCGATGTGATGAAATTAAAACCTTTTACGATATATTTACCGTATACGTTAGAAAGATGTCATTAAGTTTTCTGTGCGAACTTTGCAAATATGGGGTATGCTTAATCTGGCTGACATATTCATTTTCGTCTAAAAAGCTCAGGGGAAAAATTGATATTTTCGAAATGGTAGCCAGTCAAAACACATTTTCATGGTTTCTGAGCTTATTCTGGTAGTTGGCAAAGCCTCAGCTGAGTTTTACCAAATTTGTAAACCCCTGGGATGGAATTTCCCTATCCTACACCCCTGGGCATGAAAGAGTCGTATAGTCTTTACAGTAAATCCCTACTGTTTGTTCTTGTTTTAGTAACAGCGACTTTAACCTGGCCACTAGGGAAAATTTCAGATATTTTAGACTTAATTCTGCATTCTAAGATAATCGATGAAAACAAAAGTGTGGTGGCAGAGACAGATTCCATAATAACTACAAGTATGTGGAACTTGCCATTATCTCTGAAGCCTAAATAGTGATATTACCAGTGTTGGAACCTCAACTTTTTTTTAAACAGAACAGTAGATTTAACAACACTTTCAGCTGTACTGTTGATGACTGTGTTGTATTTGTTTGAAAATTACAACAGCTCACCTAAAATTACATACTGACAACAACCTTTCTACCTTCCACTACGAATACCACATGATCCCTTAAATTAAACTGGAACTCGAGCACTCAAAGAACCGCACTTATATGTTTATATAACTCTAAATAGATCCGTGTCCATTAGGACGACTTGGGGAGTAATTGCGTCAGTACATACCACCGGCACAAAGCAGACATATCTCTCATCTTATTGACCTATGTATCATTCTGTCATCATTTATCAAAGGTCTGCAGATACCCCGAGTCACTGGCTTTATACAGGTCAAAGGTCAGAACCTCTGACACCATAATTCTGTGGATGCACAGCGTCGCCACCGCTGATACCCACATTACATTCAGGATAGTAGAACCTGCTAAGATTTACATAAATTTTCAGTCTGAACACTATCCTACAGAGATTTCTGAAGAGAAAAAATGCATCAGCAGGCTCCTCATAAAAAGCAACACAGTAATACATTTTACACTGGTATTTGCTGTAACTGAATACCTGAATTGTTAAGTTTATTTAAATCATCAATGATATTTGAAATTGTTTGCTGGAATCATCTATGTAAAAGGCAGACACTAACATATACCTGAACAAAGTAATCACAAATTGAGCCGTTTGCAAATTTGCAAGGGTTTAATCCATTATCATGAGAATGTTGGTATTCTGATTTGTTAATCAATCTGTTCATTTAAAGAAGAAAAGTGTTATCATTAAATGTCCAATCAGACAGCGTTGAAGTGCCTGACAGCTTTGGGAACAGGTGTATGTGAACATTCTGTATAATGTACAGCAGAGCTCTATCTCTTTGTGCTGCCAAATGTTTATCTAATCACAGAGCCTGATAAAGGCAGGTAGACAGCAGCAACAGCAGCTGTATCAAGCTCGTTAAGCTGTGTACCTGTACACAGGTGAGTTTTCTGCTGTTGTTATGGTGCAGCCAGTCTGTTATTTTTGGTAGATAGACATCAGCGCTGACACAAGTCTAAACAAGTTTACCTCTCTATTGTTGTTGTATCATTATGACTGTAGAGTTCCTGCTAGCACGATTCTCAATTAATTTGAACATAATTATCGACTTGAGTATTCTGTGAGCATTACGTAACCAAGTCAAACTGCAGGTGAGATCGATGCACAGACTGGTCCTGCACCCTCCATCAACTTATTGATTACCTGTTTAACATGTCCAGGCAAACAGCCAAGCACTGACATTTTACTCCAGACATTTATACAGGTATATGTTGATAGTATCTGCCATACATAATTGTATACTTATTACACGACGTGATGACCGACCAGGAGAGTACTGTGTAAGGACAGACATGTGTTCTACATAAGGAAAGGAACAGCACTAGCTTTATACACTGATCAGACTGAGTGTATTTATGTGAAGGTGTGATGGAGCTAAAAGAAGCTATGGTTACATATGTGTGTAAGGCTGTATCCAGGGAAAACTTACAAATAGTAAGTACATATACATGTTGGATATTAATAACTAAAGCTGGACATATCAGGTAACTATAGGGTCAATAATATTAATGGTAAGCTTATCAGGAAATACCATGACTGAAGATAGAGGTACCAGGTGACTAGGGAATGCCACACTAATGGTAAGCTTAGCAAGAAATACCATGACTGAAGATGGAGATACCAGGAAACTAGGGTAGGCCACACTAATGGTAAGCTTATTAGGAAATGCCATGACTAAAGATGGAGGTACCAGGTGACTAGGGTAGACCACACTAATGGTAAGATTATCAAGAAATACCATGACTGAAGATGGAGGTACCAGGTGACAAGGGTATGCCACACTAATGGTAAGCTTATCAAGAAATACCATGACTGAAGATGGAGGTACCAGGTGACTAGGGTAGACCACACTAATGGTAAGCTTATTAGGAAATACCATGACTGAAGATGGAGGTACCCGGTGACTAGGGTAGGCCACACTAATGGTAAGCTTATTAGGAAATACCATGACTGAAGATAAAGGTACCTGGTAACTATGGTAGACCACACTAATGGTAGGCTTATCAAGAAATACCATGACTGAAGATGGAGATACCAGGTGACTAGGGTAGGCCACACTTATGGTAAGCTTATCAAGAATACCATGACTGAAGATGGAGGTACCAGGTAACTAGGGTAGGCCACATGTACACTAATGGTAAGCTTATCAAGAAATACCATGACTGAAGATGGAGATACCAGGTGACTAGGGTAGACCACACTAATGGTAAGCTTATCAAAAACACCATGACTGAAGATGGAGGTACCAGGTGACTAGGGTAGGCCACACTTATGGTAAGCTTATCAAGAATACCATGACTGAAGACGGAGGTACCAGGTAACTAGGGTAGGCCACACTAATGGTAAGCTTATTAGGAAATACCATGACTGAAGATGGAGGTACCATGTAACTAGGGTAGGCCACATGTACACTAATGGTAAGCTTATCAAGAATACCTTGACTGAAGATGGAGGTACCAGGTAACTATGTTAGACCACACTAATGGTAAGCTTATTAGGAAATACCATGACTGAAGATGGAGGTACCACGTAACTAGGGTAGGCCACATGTACACTAATGGTAAGCTTATCAAGAATACCATGACTGAAGATGGAGGTACCAGGTACTAGGGTAAAGTCTTTAATTAAGCCATAGCAACCCATAATATGATGAGCAGGAAATATGATCCTGATAAATTGTAGCAGGTGAAACAGGAACTGAACCATGTTGCATACAATTTTGACGAGTGATTAATAATATTTACATATGCATGGGATTTTCTCTACTAGCTAACCTTCTTGAAAGCTGTGTCGTTACGGGACTTTAAATGATTTGCACCACGAGAAACAATTCTTAGCCAATCAGCACGCGACAATACGCTGTTCCAGTTATTGAACAAATTTGTTCAGAATGTCACTAATTAAGCTATGTCATACACATGACGTTAACCCTATTGTAAAACGCTATGTCTGCCTTACTATCAGATCATGTTGTACTACACTAAGGCTAAGTGGACAATGGTCAAGAGGTCAATCTACATTATTACAACATCAACTAATCCCAATTACTCTCACAGTTAAAACTTCCAATGATTGGCAGAATATTTTTGTTCAAACTTATCAATTCTCCCAACTGGTATCATATTTACTTTTAAAATCATAAGAATCCCTACATCTTTCCTTTTTCTCAAGTTTGATTAATTCTTTGCCTGGAACTTTATAAAAGTGAAGTCATTTTTATTACGTTTTAGACATCCTATTTCCTACAGGAATAGTTAGCAAGTAAGTTTTTCGATTTTCTTAATTCACTTGTAACTGGAGTCGAACCTGTAATGTTGAATTCCTTGGGGTAGAACTTTTTCTTTCAATAAAACCAGTGTCCAATATTATATGTGTTAAAACTTGCATTCAATAACCATAAATTCCATCACAAAGATAAACCCTGTAAGATTACAGCAAATTATAGATCATGATAGCTGTATATATTATATAATTTTTGCTACATATCTTAATCCACAAATGTCAATTCTATACATGTTTCTAATACTGTGTGTAACAGCTGGCCCCAGGCCACTGTCTACATGTGTATATAGACTATATAAAAACACTCCATCCTAAGTCAAATTCATTTTCTCTTTTTTTTTCCAGGTAAATCTTGGCGATATGTACTAAGGAGATGTACACAGCTGTATCAGCTGAGCCAACTACTACTACCAAGGATACAAAACAGAACAAGAAAATCACCTCAGTATCCAGAAATCAACCTAGCGACTTTAAAATAATCCAAGAAATATAAAAAAAATCAGTAAGATTATCAGATTTAATGTGTTCATTGTACAATATAGAAACTTCCTTAAGGAACAGAAACTTCCTAAAGGAACAGAAACATCCTACAGATACAGAAACATCCTAAAGGAACAGAAACATCCTACAGGAAATTCCTAAAGGAACAGAAACATCCTACAGAGACTTCCTAAAGGAACAGAAACATCCTACAGATACAAAAACATCCTAAAGGAACAGAAACATCCTACAGATACAGAAACTTCCTAAAGGAACAGAAACATCCTACAGAGACTTCCTAAAGGAACAGAAACATCCTACAGATACAGAAACATCCTAAAGGAACAGAAACATCCTACAGATACAGAAACTTCCTACAGAGACTTCCTAAAGGAACAGAAATATCCTACAGATGCAGAAACATCCTACAGATACAGAAACTTCCTAAAGGACCAGAAACATCCTAAAGGAACCGAAACATCCTACAGATACAGAAACTTCCTAAAGGACCAGAAACATCCTAAAGGAACAGAAACATCCTACAGATACAGAAACTTCCTAAAGGAACAGAAACATCCTACAGATACAGAAACTTCCTGAAGGAACAGAAACATCCTACCAATACAGAAACATCCTAAAGATACTGAAACTTCCTAAAGGACCAGAAACATTCTACAGATACAAAAACTTCCTAAAGAAACAGAAACATCCTACAGATACAGAAACTTCCTACAGATACAGAAACTTCCTAAAGGACCAGAAACATCCTACAGATACAAAAACTTCCTAAAGGACCAGAAACATCCAACAGATACAAAAACTTCCTAAAGAAACAGAAACATCCTACAGATACAGAAACTTCCTACAGATACAGAAACTTCCTAAAGGAACAGAAACATCCTACAGATACAGAAACTTCCTACAGATACAGAAACATCCTACAGATACAGAAACATCCTACAGATACAGAAACATCCTAAAGGACCAGAAACATCCTACCGATACAGAAACATCCTAAAGATACAGAAACTTCCTAAAGGACCAGAAACATCCTAAAGGAACAGAAACATCCTACAGATACAGAAACTTCCTACAGATACAGAAACATCCTACAGATACAGAAACATCCTACAGATACAGAAACATCCTAAAGGACCAGAAACATCCTACCGATACAGAAACATCCTAAAGATACAGAAACTTCCTAAAGGACCAGAAACATCCTAAAGGAACAGAAACATCCTACAGATACAGAAACTTCCTACAGATACAGAAACATCCTACAGATACAGAAACTTCCTACAGATACAGAAACATCCTAAAGGACCAGAAACATCCTAAAGGAACAAAAACATCCTACAGATACAGAAACTTCCTAAAGGAACAGAAACATCCTACAGATACGGAAACTTCCTAAAGGAACAGAAACACCCTACAGATACAGAAATGCCCTAACCATACTACAGCAATGTTCTAGCAGAAAACCTCGTAGGATAAACAGGATATCCTTTAATACAGAAAACATCCGGGGATATAAACAACGCCTACTTAGGATACAGACACTACCTGCAAATATAGTGATACAAACAATGTTTGTAAGGACACCCTATATAAACTTCAGAACGACAAAGGATTAAATGTCAACACATGTATGTAATAAAAAGAAACTTTTAGACATGAGAATTAATCAAGTTTCCGTACAGTCATCCTCCACCTAAACCACGAAGAGTAGAAATTGACCGGTCATCAATCAACCGACATAAATACACATGAAACAGATTGGCTGTACATGTGCAGTGTGGTGATCAGGATGCAACTGTTTGACGGTGTATGACAATCACTTCCTCCTGTCTACATACGTACAGATAAAAAATACTCATCAACAGCCACGTAAACACTCCTGCAGTCATTCATCTGTTCCACACTGACAGACATGTATTTATGTTTATTTGTGTCAGAACTACAGGACTCCCTCTAAATTATTCAGGATATAATTTATCAGTGATATATATTTTCCATGGTTCTAAGGGAAATTTCTACATGGTGACAAAAGGAGGTTTTTAAGATGTAATCTTACACAGAAAAAACTGAGATTTGATTTTGAATACCAAGTGTGATGGAGATTGTGATTACATTCAATTTGTGACTATGTACTTATTTTTTTTGCATTTTGTAACTGTGTTTACATCTAAAACTATCATTTGGGATGATATGGAAAAGACTAGCCAGCACTAGTCTTCACTGAAATCTGACAAGGACCTAAGAAACTTTCTTACTGGAAATTCTGATGAAATACCCAAATCCAGTGCAGGTATATGTTATAATGATACCTGTCTGACCAATGTCTAGTCCAAAACTGGTACAGGTATGTCAACTAACGATGTCCAGTTCATCACCTATAAAGGTATATCAACAAACGATATCCAGCCGAACATTGATACAGGTGTGTCAACTAACGATGTCCAGCCAAACACTGGTACAGGTGTGTCACCAAACGATGTCCAGCCAAACACTGGTATGGGTGTACCAAGCAACGATGTCGAGCCCTACACTGATATAGGTGTGTCATCTAACGATGTCCAGCCCAACACTGGTACAGCTGTGTCACCAAACGATGTCCAGGCAAACACTGGTATGGGTGTACCAAGCAACGATGTCGAGCCCTACACTGGTACAGGTGTGTCATCTAACGATGTCCAGCCCAACACTGGTACAGGTGTGTCAACTAACGATGTCCAGCCAAACACTGGTATGGTCGTACCAAGCAACGATGTCGAGCCCTACACTGGTACAGGTGTGTCATCTAACGATGTCCAGCCCAACACTGGCACAGCTGTGTCACCAAACGATGTCCAGCCCAACACTGGTACAGGGGTGACAACTAATGATTTCCAGCCCTACACTGAAACAAGTGTGTCAACTAACGATGTCCAGCCCAACACTGGTACAGGTGTGTCAGCTAATGATGTACAGCCCAACACTGGTACAGCTGTATCACCTAACGATGTCCAGCCAAACACTGGTATAGGTGTATCATCTAACGATGCCCAGCTCAACACTGGTACAGCTGTGTCACCAAACAATGTTCGGCCAAACACTGGTATAGGTGTATCATCTAACGATGTCCAGATCAACACTGGTACAACTGTGTCACCAAACGATGTCCAGCCCAACACTGGTATGGGTGTACCAAGCAACGATGTCCAGCCCAACAATTGTACAGGTGTGTCACCAATTGATGTCCAGTCCAACACTGGTACAGCTGTGTGGGTGTACCAAGCAACGATGTCCAGCCCAACACAGGTACAGGTGTGACAACTAATGATGTCCAGCCCTACCCTGCAACAAGTGTGGCAACTAACGATGCCCAGCCCAACACTGGTACAGGTGTGACAACTAATGATGTCCAGCCCTACACTGCAACAAGTGTGGCAACTAACGATGTCCAGCCCAACACGGGGACAGCTGTGTCAACTAACGATGTCAAGCCCAACACTGGTATAGGTGTATCATCTAACGATGTCAAGCTCAACACTGGTACAACTGTGTCACCAAACGATGTCCAGCCCAACACTTGCACAGGTGTGTCACCTAACGATGTCCAGCCAAACACTGGGATAGGTGTACCAAGCAACGATGTCCAGCCCAACACAGGTACAGGTGTGACAACTAATGATGTCCAGCCCTACAATGAAACAAGTGTGTCAACTAACGATGTTCAGCCAAACACTGGTATGGGTGTACCAGTGTCACCAAACGATGTCCAGCCCAACACTTGCACAGGTGTGTCACCTAACGATGTCCAGCCAAACACTGGTGTAGGTGTATCATCTAACGATGTCCAGATCAACACTGGTACAACTGTGTCACCAAACGATGTCCAGCCCAACACTTGCACAGGTGTGTCACCTAACGATGTCCAGTCCAACACTGGTACAGGTGTGTCAACTAACTAACGATGTCCAGCCCAACACTGGTACAGCTGTGTCAACTAACGATGTCCAGCCCAACTCTGGTACAGCTGTGTCAACTAACGATGTCCAGCCCAACACTGCTACAGGAGGGTCATCTAACGATGTCCAGCCCAATTCTGGTTCAGGTGTGTCAGCTAATGATGTACAGCCCTACACTGGTACAGGTGTGTCACCTAATGATGTACAGCCCAACACTGGTACAGCTGGATCACCTAACGATGTCCAGCCAAACACTGGGATAGGTGTACCAAGCAACGATGTCCAGCCCAACAATTGTACAGGTGTGTCACCAATTGATGTCCAGTCCAACACTGGTACAGCTGTGTGGGTGTACCAAGCAACGATGTCCAGCCCAACAATGGTACAGGTGTGTCACCAATTGATGTCCAGTCCAACACTGGGACAGCTGTGTCACCAAACGATGTCCAGCCCAACACTTGCACAGGTGTGTCACCTAACGATGTCCAGTCCAACACTGGTACAGGTGTGTCAACTAACTAACGATGTCCAGCCCAACACTGGTATAGGTGTATCATCTAACGATGTCAAGCTCAACACTGGTACAACTGTGTCACCAAACGATGTCCAGCCCAACACTTGTACAGGTGTGACAACTAATGATGTCCAGCCCAACACTGGTACAATTGTGTCAACTAACGATGTCCAGCCCAACTCTGGTACAGCTGTGTCAACTAACGATGTCAAGCCAAACACTGGTACAGCTGTGTCAACTAACGATGTCCAGCCCAACTCTGGTACAGCTGTGTCAACTAACGATGTCCAGCTCAACACTGGTACAACCGTGTCACCAAACAATGTCCAGACTAACACTGGTACAGGTGTGTCACCAAATGATGTCCAGCCCAACACTGGTACATCTGTGTCACCTAACGATGTCAAGCCCAACACTGGTACAGGTTTGTCAACTAACGATGTCCAGCCAAAGACTGGTATGGGGGTACAGGTGTGTCATCAAACGATGACCAGCCCAACACTGGTACAGGTGTGTCAACTAACGATGTCCAGCCCAACACTGGTACAGCTGTGTCAACTAACGATGTCAAGCCCAACACTGGTACAGGTGTGTCAACTAACGATGTCCAGCCAAACACTGGTATGGGTTTACCAAGCAACGATGTCCAGCCCAACAATGGTACAGGTGTGTCACCAATTGATGTCCAGTCCAACACTGGTACAGCTGTGTCACCAAACGATGTCCAGCCCAACACTGGCACAGGTGTGTCAACTAACGATGTCCAGCCCAACACTGGCACAGGTGTGTCACCTAACGATGTCCATCCCAACACTGGTACAGGTGTGTCAACTAATGATGTCCAGCCAAACACTGGTACAGCTGTGTCAACTAACGATGTCAAGCCCAACACTGGTACAGGTTTGTCAACTAACGATGTCCAGCCAAACACTGGTATGGGTTTACCAAGCAACGATGTCCAGCCCAACAATGGTACAGGTGTGTCACCAATTGATGTCCAGTCCAACACTGGTACAGCTGTGTCACCAAACGATGTTCGGCCAAACACTGGTATAGGTGTATCATCTAACGATGTCCAGATCAACACTGGTACAACTGTGTCACCAAACGATGTCCAGCCCAACACTGGCACAGGTGTGTCAACTAACGATGTCCAGCCCAACACTGGCACAGGTGTGTCAACTAACGATGTCCAGCCCAACAGTGGTGCAGCTGTGTCAACTAACGATGTCAAGCCCAACACTGGTACAGGTGTGTCAACTAACGATGTCCAGCCCAACAGTGGTGCAGCTGTGTCAACTAACGATGTCAAGCCCAACACTGGTACAGGTTTGTCAACTAACGATGTCCAGCCAAACACTGGTACAGCTGTGTCAACTGATGTCCAGCCCAACACTGGTACAGGTGGGTCACCAAACGATGTCCAGCCCAACACTGGCACAGGTGTGTCACCTAACGATGTCCATCCCAACACTGGTACAGGTGTGTCAACTAATGATGTACAGTTCAACACTGGTACAGCTGTGTCACCAAACGATGTCCAGCCCAACACTGGTACAGGTGTGTCACCTAACGATGTCCATCCCAACACTGGTACAGGTGTGTCAACTAATGATGTCCAGCCAAACACTGGTACAGGTGTGTCAACTAACGATGTCCAGCCAAACACTGGTATGGGTGTACCAAGCAACGATGTCCAGCCCAACACTGGTACAGGTGTGTCACCAAACGATGTCCAGCCCAACACTGGTACAACTTTGTCACCAAACGATGTCCAGCCCAACACTGGTACAGGTGTGTCAACTCATGATGTCCAGCCAAACACTGGTACAGGTGTGTCAACTAACGATGTCCAGCCAAACACTGGTATGGGTGTACCAAGCAACGATGTCCAGCCCTACACTGGTACAGGTGTGACAACTAATGATGTCCAGCCAAACACTGGTACAGGTGTGTCAACTAACGATGCCCAGCCAAACACTGATATGGGTGTACCAAGCAACAATGTCCAGCCAAATACTGGTACAGACGTGTTACCTAACGATGTCCAGCCCAACCCTGGTACAGGTGTGTTATCTAACGATGTCCAGCCCAACCCTGGTACAGGTGTGTTTTCTAACGATGTCCAGCCCAACCCTGGTACAGGTGTGTCATCTGACCATGTCCAGTCTTACACTACTAGTACAGATGTACTAGGTATGGATATCCAGTCTGGTTCCATTGAACCAGCAGACCCCTGTAGTCCAGTCGTGGCCTTTGACTTGCTTGGCCCAGTGGGAGAACATCTTCTTTGTCCAACATGTGTCAGCGTGTCTGTGACTGGAGAATTTGTGGTCAGTGACACTGAAAGTTGCTTTGTGGTCATCTACAGTAGTGCAGGACTCTACCTGAGTCACTTCAGCACCATTCCAAAGAGGATGTTTTATATGTTCATAGATGTAGCCAAGTATCGGCCACAGGATGTGGCCTGGCTTGCCTCTAAACATGTTGTGTATACCCAGCCAGCAGGCTGTCGGGTGGTCATCGCAGACTGGAATGGAAAATCTACAGTCTCCATTGAGGGCAGGCCTTTGTATGAACCGTATGGAGTCTGTGTTGACAAGTCAGACAAAATCTACATCACTGACAGAGCTAAAGGGAGAATACTGTGTTATAACAGTGACGGCAAGCTAATTAAGAGTTTAGGAGTGTTAGGATCAAGAGAAGTACTTAATAGTCCACATTACATTCGTGTCACAAATAATGGAAATATATGTGTAAATGAATTGAGTAAAGAGGGCATTCGAGTTCGAGTTTACACCAAGTCTGGTACTTCTTGTTGTGTGGTAGCAAAGGGAGATAATCAAGGCATAGGAAGTATGGCGGTAGATCCTGAGGGATGTGTGTTACAGGTGGATCAGCAGTATGGACATTTAGTGATGTGTTGTCCCCCGAAATTAAATGGATACTCTCATAAGGACAAAACCACAACAGGATTCAACGAACAAAAAGTTAAGAACACTTGTCTATTGGTCAGTAGGACCCTAACTAACATTGGAGGCATAGCCCTGACTGATAGTGACCATTTAGTGTGTATTGACCGCAAGGACAAACAGGTCAAGGTATATCTCTGGAACAACCATAAGGAAATGTTAGTTCCCTTGTAAACTTCTGATATAACAACTGAAGCTTGAATATAAATATATAACATAGCTACAATAATTAAAATCTCACACCATATCTCATGTTCTATATATGTACATTGTAGCTGTGTGATGATACCAGCACAGGCTTTTAGGCTAACTTTTACATCTCTTGTCATCAAAGTTCCTTTTCTAAGTGGACTTTTCTTTTCCAAAATTCAGCAAAAATATATTTAAGATATAAGCAACGTATGTGCATGTAAATTATATTGGAATACATAACAGCGATGAGAAAAAAATAATTGATAATTTTTCCAACATTTTCGAATCCATGATTCGAAAAAACATGATGATTTTATTATTCCCTGGTAATCTACCTAGTAAAATGTAATGAAAGTCTTTTTTTTGCATCTAGAACAGTGGCAATATGCCTAAAATAAGCAAAGCAAACTGGATAATCTAATCATTTAAATTAGGCTGTTCTTTTGCTCATGCAAACATTTGTCGTGTTATAGTTAGCACTTTTTTTACCTTTGACCTAGAGATGAAGGTGACAATGACTCAAAAACAGTCCCTTACACACTTTGTGTGGGTTATGTAAGTACACTTTAAGTTTCATCAAGATATCTGTAATGGATTAATGGACAAGAGGTAAAGGTCATAGTGAAATATTTACAGCAAAAACCCTCTACAATAACACAGGTGAATACAGTCAACCACCTCTGCTAAGAGACCACCTGTTTTACGTAACCACTTTTAATGTGAACTAACCTGTATTAAGAGGCCAGTCATTAACAGACCAATTTTCACTATATTACAATATTACTGAATGGGTTCCAATAAATGTCATAAATCCAATGCTAGTTAATTTGTTGTGAGTGTTAGATACAGGAAAGCTCCGGTCAAATTGGACAGAGTAAATAAATATTGTCAATTCTGTTTGAATTACACAAAATTATAGTGGCTAGATTTTAAAATATCTTGAACAATCCAAGTTAACATCAGCAAAAATCACGGCAAACAGTCAAGTCACCAATACAGAACAACAATAGCCTATTATTGTATATTTACAAATCTGTCAATGCCTAGTGTTAGACAATTGTGTCATTCTTATATTTACTTACTTATTATTAATCGACTATCAAATTCATTTTTAACTTAATCATGAAGTAGAGACCAGTATATATGCAGCAAAATATGTTTTCTTGAGTGCTGACAGAAGTTCATTCATAATGTATCAGAATGTGGAAGGCGGATTGAGACTTTAGTTACGGACATATTAGTTGGACCAATAACCTGTTCAAACCTGTTAGCTAAGCAGAAATATTGACATTGTCAATAAAAAGTGCTTCACCAGGGTTAAAAACAAGCCATTCAGATTGATATGTCTCGTCTGGGCCCCCTTTCACCTTCGATGCACATGTCAAGATTGGTTGGTGTACAGTAGCACTTATAGTTTCAGAGAAACTAGCTTAAACGCAAAAACTTTTTAATGTTGATGGAGATGCTTAAAAAGTCAATGGACCATGAAGGTAGGTCGCATCCAGCATTTGATGCATGGGTTGAGATGTACTACATAAGATGTATCTATCGTCCAAGTTTGGTTAGCCTAGCAATTACTGCTGCCGTAAAAGCAACACCTTAATCTCTCTTCCGCTACTTTGTGGCAGCCAGACAAAAATAAACCTTTCCATTGGCCATTTCCCCATTGGAAATAAACTCCTGTTTTTCCCCCAATTTCAAATCTTTTCCCTAACAAGTGACACATCATAATTTTAAGCAAACAAATATTGCTATTAATAAAAATATTTAATTGGTACAAAGAGAAACTTCCAAAATATCATTTTCTTTTTTCAAAATTCTAACCTAAATTATATTATTGAACAGAAAATTAAATGCAAATATCAAATATTTCTTCTGTTGTTTTAAGTATATTTTCCCAAATTCACAATTATTCTGTGAAGTTTCCTCAATTCTGGACTCTTCCCAAAACACCACTGATATGATTAATATGTTTACCCACCGAGACGCTCCATTTCTTGCTGAGCCTGTTTCTAGGGACAGTGCTGATAGTGTACTATGTCCACTACGGGCAGAGGACTGGACATCCCAGGCCTCCGTCTGTTGGGCTAACAGCTGGACAGCATGTTCTCGGGAGAAGTGGGTACCTTGTGCCCTTTTGCGGTATTCCTGGGCCTTCCTCCTTAGCTCTATTACCTCGGCAAACCAGTTAGACAGACTTGGCCCTGTTGCATTAGCCGACTGATCCTCCGGCTATATACAACACAAATATTGTACAAAATATCATAACTATTAAAATATAAATAATTTCAACAATATTTGAATAGCTACAGCAGAAAGATGGGTAATAACTGAAGAAAACAGAACAAAAAACTTTTCATTTATGGTCATAACAGTTACCTCCCTTTTGAAACACTAAGGGCCTGTTCGTTTATGTGGAACAACCGGTTTGACCGTTTATAAATGTAACAATTTCGGGTATAAATCCTGGTGGACCTGCAAATGTTTATGCAGGCCTTGCAATGCTTTGTCAAGGCTCGCCTGAAAGCAGCATCAGATTACTAGGTATCTTTTAATATCTTTTCTGAAGTTGAAGTTTGGAGAAAAAAATAATTGGCAAAGACTTTTTAGATTGAAGTTAGATTCACTGGGAAAACCCCTGTGTATGTAGTGTTAGGTGGCCCCCACAGGTAGGGATGCCTTATTTTATAGACCAGTGGATCCATTTAAGTAAAAAACAGATTTGTGGTAAAAAAAAAAGTGACTCATATAGGATATCCTTGTGTAACAACACAGTTTCTGGAAAATGAAAACTTGCTTTTAGATACAAACGGAACGGCAGTGGGAGTACTTACATCTTAAAATAGTGCTGGCTACATGATAATTACTCCACTCTTTATACATGAAATATCATATGTCAGGATATCTTTTGCTTTCCATCTCTTAGAACGATTACATGATTTCTAGGTGACACAAGAATAACACTGATTTGACATATTTATACAACAATCCGTTCTATATCTAAGTACACATATATGCTACAGAAACTTGAAATACACACATTTGCGAAATATTTCCCATTGAACGATCAACATAGTTTTCAATAAGTAAATAAAAAGTGTGTTTGCTTTTTGGTGTAGTTCATGTTAATTTCATTAATGTCCATTCGTCTGCATCATGTTTTAACCAATGTCATTGGTACACGGCTACATCAGACTTATAGCCACATAGTCAAAACTCTGCTGTTTCTCTTTATTAAAAGATATACATGTATCTTGTTTTAACATAACAATAATGTTTCATGTATGTTAGCCCTTTTCTGACTTAAGATTGTGTGCTGACAGTGTTTCTCTTTCCATAAGTTCCAAAACTCTGAAACAATGCTAATTTTTTCAATTAGTCATGCGAGAATGCACCTGCATGATGAGAAACATTTCATCACAAAAGTAAAAAGGATGAAAGGCGAGTATTTTCCTATACCATATATCTTTTACATTATACCAAGATGAACTTCATGCAGAGAAATAAAGTATAACAAATTCAATTAAATCTTCAAAATCTGGGTTAAATTTTAACATGTCATTTTCAAAATCACAAATGGAACCTAGGGAATGAACCGTTAAAGTGACTGTGTTTACCTCGGGTGCCTGTAAGTGTGGGGGGTTGGCACCTCTCCATGCTCCCTTGACATAGTCAAAGCTACTGGGGGCCTTGTAGTTGTTGCAATATTCACTTCTAGTACGCCTGAAACAAGACAGTTACAGATTTTAGTGCTGTATACAGAATAAATTTCCCACTTAAATATACATTCTTCATTAGGAAATTATGTATTCACCCAGTGTTAATTTGGCCCTTTCCATGTATTTACTATATATCATAGTGTGTGTACTAGTATTCACTGTCTAGATAATGTTTGTGGTAGGCAAAAAACAGACGCAGTGAACAATTACTTAATTTTGTAACCAGTTTGTGGTCTTCCAGTCGAACAACTGGACAGACAATAGACATTTAGCGACACACAAAGACAGTTTAGAAAAGCTCAATGAATTTCGCTCAAGTAACCCAAAATAACCAGAAGTAATCATGACAGAATTGAGACAAGTGACTTATAGGTTAACGATGCCAGCATAAAAAGTGGTCATTTTGCTCAGTATTGGACAGGGTATTATGATCACCATTATAACAAACCTCTGTATATTGTCTTGAACAGAACAGATTATAGCAGGAATCACAGAACACTAGCACCCTGATGACACAACCCATCTGGGGAACACCAGCCATACAGTATGATTACAACAATGACTTTCGATTTTGTCAATAGCATCAAAATGTATTGGAAATACTTTTCAAGTATCGCAATAACACATTAACACAATAATCTTTTTGAGAGGCAATACACCTACCTGAGCTGACCCTGAGGGATGGGTGGGCGTCGCCGAACCTCTACATCAGGGGTCTCTTTTGTGAGACGTTTATTGTCTGAGGTAATGATTGGACCTGATCCAGCGGCTTCCATCTTGTCTGGGGACAGGGCTGGTTAAAAATAAATGAATGCTTACATCCTGCCTCTACAGCCAATCACAATAGATTATTACAATCACCATGTCACTAATGGGGCAGTACCAACAATACAGTCAAATGCCATCTAACACATTGGACATTTTTCTGCACAATGATAAAATGTTATGTCACAGTGAGACAGAAATTTAACTGGACATTTGGAAAGTATCCAAACCCTGTCTAGGTCACATGAAGCATGGTTACTGTATATTTTTCACAAAGCTTTGTAATAGGTTAAGAGATGTGGCCATGGTCATGAAGTTCTCAAAATTATTTTTAAGATAGCAGAGTGGGGTATAGCTGAATTGTATCTATAAAAGCTGTCTAAAGAGTGGGGTAAAGCTGAATTATATCTATAAAATCTGTCTGAAGAGTGGGGTATAGCTGAATTATATCTGTAAAATCTGTCTGAAGAGTGGGGTATAGCTGAATTATATCTGTAAAATCTGTCTGAAGAGTGGGGTATAGCTGAATT